TATTCATTTTCAAGTATAAATTTTTCATTTTCTTATCGCACGATTTTTTTTTAACACCAATAATCTGTTTTCTTGTGTCACAGATATGTTTACCAGCCCATCGAGCAGCTGTATATGGTACTGGTGACCACAAAGACATCGAATATTCTGGAAGATCTGGAGACTTTGCATCTATTCGCTCGTGTTATTCCCGAGTATTGTCGGTCCCTGGACGAGCGAGACATTAGCGACAATGTCTTCGATCTAATCTTCGCCTTTGATGAGATCGTGGCCCTTGGTTACAGGTAAGTAGACTTGTCTGTAAGGGTTGACTATTCAATTTTCGAAGGTACGTTGATATTACTGGATATGCAGGCTTTGCTGAATGTTATGGTGTATATGAGCATACATGCGAATGCGTGTTTCTATGCCCTGATGCATGGGAATTGCCGGATCCTTGTGTTTATTTGCGTATACTTGGGCATGTATGTATTGTGTCTGTGTATATATGTACATATACGATTCTGTACCAGTACTTCTTGGACGCCACCACTCGCTCGACTAGCCAGGCATGGCCGACTTCAAAGTTCGCGTCGTACTAGATCTGTGTACATTCCTTCTGATCCCGAAAGTTAGTGTGTGTATTTTTCATGCCGTTGTACATATGTTCATGCCTTAACCATTTGTACGCGTTGTTTCGGATAGTACACTAGCACAAGTGTGTACATGTATACAAACATCATGTACACAAGTATGTGCATGCATACAGGCATTATGTGCACAATTGTGTGCATACATACAAACATTTATGTGTACGTGTGTTGTGTTTGTGTAGTACATGCATCCGTCTGTGGGAAACTACGCACGATTGTACATCTGTGAGTGTAATCGTGGTGCGTGTCTGCCTGTGCATATATGCATCAAATACCTCTGGTGCTTACATGTGCTTGTCGGGTCACACTCGTTTGTGTATGTGTGACATTCATGTGCCGAGTTCATCAATGTATATACGAAGCACATGCGAGTAGCTGCTGCAACGATTTCGTATATAAAGGTGTGTTCGCATTTTTAGGGCTAACGGCTGCTACAGGCTTTGTGGACTATATATATATATATATATATATAACCATATTTATATATATCTATATCTATAAACCTATATCTATGTCTATTTTTATACCTGTATCTGCATACTGTTCCTTTTCTTTTACGCGTTTTGTTTATGCGATGGTTTGCGATTTTTTGTGCAACATGCAAAAGCTTGGCGTTTACTAAGTGTTGAACTTACAATTGTCCAATCGCACAGGGAAAGTGTGACCATTGCACAGGTGCGAACGTTTACAGAAATGGACAGTCACGAAGAAAAGGTGCACCAGATGGTACAGAAGAACAAGGAGAAGGAGGTAAGGCATAGTTGCCATATTTTCTGTTGATATATGTATATTGTTCTGTATATATATATATATATATATATATATATATGTATATGTATATGTATATATATGTGTATGGATGTATATATATATATATATATAAATATATATATATATAATGTTTACATATATACATATAATGTTTAGTGTATACATACTTGTTTTTAGGCAAATCCCTGTATATACAAGGTAGCGTGAGGCATCATGATCAGCAAATGCCCACCCGACATTCGAAGCAGGAAATTCATGTGCATAGTTTAGGGTTTGCCACCGTCTGTATATTGTACATGTGTACCAAGTTATCAAGCGCCGATAATATAAGTGTATTGTAGACATGTGTAGTATCTTTTAATGTTAAATCACAATTTGATTCAGGCCAAGGAAGAAATGAAGAGAAAGATGAAAGAGATGGAAAGCCAAAGACGCGCCGAACGAAAGGGCCGTGGAGGGGCACCAAAGGGCTACGGCTCCAGCACTGGGTTTGGCTCAGGAAGTGGTAAGATGCCTGTACGGATAATTATACATGAGTGTCTGCATTGGTATCAGCTTATATATGCATGTACATACACATAAAATTAAGCATACATATACATAGACATGAACATAAACGCAAACACACACGCACACACATACACACACACACACACACACACACATATATATATATATAATATATATAATATATATATATATATATATAGATATAGATATAGATGATGTCTTTCGCCATTGCTACTGTATTTCTTAAATACATACGTGTATATCTATTTGCTGATTATAAAGGATATCATGTAGCTAACGCATATATATACTGTAATATGTACTTGTGAGCCTTGGGCAAGGATCCATACAAACAACCCCCACGCATACACATTCGGCCAGTCCTTCCTCGTAGTCACTAAATATACCTACGAACATGCACTTGCAAATCAAGCCGACTGATTTGCATGCATAGAAATACTACCGATAAACCCTCAGTTCTCAAGTGCCACGTATAACTCAAATGCTGGAATTTGGACTTTAGGGTTCAGTGTTTGGATTTTAGTTGGTACCTTTAGCACTTGCGATCCATCTAGCTTTTATTCACCACTCACAATCCTCCCCATACAGGCATGGGCCAGCAAGACCAGGGCCAAAATTCAGGGCCACAACGGTCCGGCGGCTTTAAAGGAGGTGCAGGCTCGGGCGGCATGGGGTCGGGCATGGGGTCGGGCATGGGTTCGGGTGGCGGTGCACCTGCACCCAGTCGTAGTACTGGTGGTGGCATGAAATTAGGGGGCAAAAAGGTATGTATGTAGCTCCGAATGAGTATTATGAATGAGTGGGGATAAGGTAGGTTTTGTGTAAGAGTACAGAAAACATTTCGTGTATTTAGAGGGTGTCCAGGCGCTCGGGTGGTTGAAGTATACCTGAAAACAAAGGGGCAACAAGACACGATTTGAAGGCCTTTTGGAGCGGGTAATATAGTTGGCAATGGGACGGGTTTGCGTGAGAGTCCAAATAAGTTTAACGTTCGTAGGCTGTGCAGGGTTGGGTGGCATGGGTTCAGGGTACAAGTACCCATGTGGTTGTCGCACACCTGCGCCCAGTTGCTGTACCGGCGGAGACATGAAAACAAGGGACAAGTAAGAGAGTTCCGTATAGATATAAATAGTATGTTGAACAGGAATTGTACGCATGTATCTGTATATGTATGTATGTCTTCGTGTACGTATGAATGGATGACTGTATCCATGTGTGTATCTATGTGTGTATGCATGCATGCATTCATGTACATATATATATATATATATATATATATATTTATATATATAACAAAATACATACATGCACACACACACACACACACACACACATATATATATATATATATACATATATATATGTCCAACTAGTTCGTTGATTACTACTCACTAGTACATCGACACCTCACTATTACTTAGCAATCTTTCCATTCAACTAATCAGGACGGGGATGCGTTTTTAGGTCAACTCATGGCAGAGGGTGTCAATGTGGGAGGGTCCATGGGCAGCAGTCAGGGTGCGCCTGTATCGCTTGCCAGTGCCAAGCGCCAGGCCAGTCTCACTGGGGGTATCCCTCAGTCGCAGGAAGCCGTTCATATCAAGGTATAGGCTCACACAGATGTATTAGATGGTTTAAACGTTATCATTGTGTTTGGTATGTATGTGTATTCACGGTTGAAGTGTGTGCACGGTAGTCTGCAGCCCCAAGCCATTTACCTATAGGCTGAGTCCTTTCGGGCTTGGTCGTGGCTTCCTCAAAATCTGACGGATACCTCAAAATCTGACGGATATTGAAAACGTAAAATGCGTTTGTTCTATTTCAGTTCGAGGAGAAGAGCCACCCACCAAACCTGTCAAATACTGAAAATGCGTCATATGTTTGTTTCATTCCAGTTAGCAGAGAGGGAAAGGATCGTTCCAAAATTTAACGAATATTGCAATCGTACTGTACATTTATTCTATTCCAGATCGAGGAGAAGATTACCCTCACAGCGCTGCGGGACGGTGGTTTAGAACAGATGGAAGTAAAGGTACGATCACCTGATTACGTAAACCGAGCTTCGTGTTCCCACCTTCTCCCTTTATGCTTTCTTGAGCCCCATTTGTTGGGAGTTATCCTTACCTACACTACTTCAAGATGTATCTGTCACCGTGTATTGCGTAGAGTCCATACGGGTGTGTACTTCTTTAGTCAGTATTTGTTCATACTAAATGCTACTGTATGCATCAACTATCTTCATCATATCTTTGACTGGGGTTGTGTATGCATGTGCGCATGTGGCCATTACGGACGAGACTCTCGCGTGTAGCTATACCGGGCATCACTCTCGAACAGTATATCGAAGCAGCTTGGACTGCTAACCCTTACCGACTACACTAAGATAATCTACCTCTTTACACGCCAACCATCAGCGGAATAGGATGAACTTTCTCCAATTCACTTGGCCGTTCCAGAAAGCTTCACTGATAGACATACATACACACAACAGAAAGGTTCACTTGCGCCTTTCCCCCCTCCAAAAGCTCAATAGTGTTAGACTGTCAATTAATACGAAGCTTATATTGGACCTTCATTGGTGACCCGGTAACAAATAGTGTCCAGTCTCTCACTCCGTACATATACCTTTCTGCGCATACGCCAACCCCCCACCGCCACTATTTACCTACCACAGGGAGATCTAATCTTAAGGGTAGCCGACGCGGACTACAACAAGATTGCACTCAAAGTGCTGGTGCCAGACCCCTCGGCCAAGCCCTTCCAATACAAGACACACCCCAACTGCAACAAACAATTGTTCGCAGAACAGGGTATGATAGGCCTCAAGAACCCTGGCAGAGGCTTCCCCGTAGGCTCTGAGCAGGGTGTGCTCAAATACAGGTATGTATGCCTTTATGCGAGTGTCGATGTATGTGTGGATGTCTATAGGTGTGTTTTGTATGTTGTAGCATATATATATAGATATATATATAATATATATATATATATAAATATATATATATATATATTTGTGTGTATGTATGTATGTATATATATATCTTTATATATATATATTTATATATAATATATATATATATATTACTATATATATATATATATATATATATATAGGAGGTTGCTGGCTGTGAATTCTCAGGAGTGTGTATTTTTTCCAGGAGTGATATAAACCAGTGAGTTTCCACTATGGCACGTACATTCCAATGCTAAGGAGTTCATACTGATTGACATGAGCGTATAATGCACTGCATATACTGCACTGTCAGGTTTTGGGTGGAAGTATTGTATTGCTGAGATATGGGTTGGTGTGTTGTCGTGTCTAGTATACTTCAATCTCATTGGCCGCTCTATGTACCATTCGGGTAACTCTTTGATCATCTCACCAATGCCTGATGGCTCAGTTCCAGTCGTGATGAGGTGTCTATGTAGATTGAATACGATCCCATTGGGTATTCTGTCTAACACATCCCAATCAGAGACACCACAACAGACGATAGATTTGTACCGTTGACCTTAAAAACCCTGATGACACGGGCGATTTAAGCGAATCTCATTGGCTGACTATTTAAATCTTTTTTTTTTACCGTTCAACCAATCAGATGCGCCACCACAGACGACAGTTTGGCACCGTTGACTATCAACTGTTGGCCCAATGTTAATCCTGACGGCACGTGCGATGTGAACATTGAATACGATCTCGAAGATCAAGCACTGAGTTTGGAGAATGTTTTAATCTCCATACCCATGCCAAATGGCAAGCCAGACGTAGGCAGTGTGGAGGGAGAAGCTACATACAACGCACGAGATGTAAGTGGCGGTCTAT